AGAGAAATGAGCAAGAATAAAAACCATAATCACTTGTACAGCTTTTTAGTATAATTTAAATGTTTATAATAACCGAACACAGCGATAGTGATACATTGAGTACTTAATACATTATACCTCTCAGCATGATTGTTTTATTGTTTTACTGTTTGATTAGCACAACTCTTGATCTTAATCAGACATTCTATAAGTTATACCAAATCAAATTAATTCGTATTAATAATAAGAACTAACTCCCACTTAATAATTATTGTATCAATGTGCTAAATTAAAATATATTTTTGGAATGGATGGATTTGATCCATTATGTTTGAGTACGTGGAGCACAAACACAACAGGTACCTTTTGCGCCATATTTCGGTACCATGTGTTAAACAACAATTCAAGTTGTAATGAATACCTACGTATAGGTATAGTATTGACTATAAATAAACATATTATTATTTTTATGTTTTTGCCAACATGGTACCGAAAATTGCCTAGATCAAGCGTGTTACAACGATTCAGTCCAACGAATATCAGCGAAATAGAACCATAAAGGAAAGAGATAAACCTGTTGGCTAGCCATCCCTAACCTTTGGGAAGAGAAAATAATAACTTGGTCTCCTAAATCTAAACCAATTTTGGGAAGGCGGATAACGATCCGAGTGCAAGATGCTTTTGAGTCTGCGGTCTTTGGCGACCGGAGACACAAAAACAACGTCGCACAAAAATCGTAACAAATAAAAAAAAATATTGCATAGGTAGTATAACTATTTACAAGAAATAAGCGTTTAAAACCAGTTTAGACTTAAGAGCGTATTCACGGTCCTAACAGATGTTACATAGGTCCGGGTACGTTAATTTTAGATCTGTCTCTATAATATCATATGACCGCTCTTAATCTAGCCATCCGCAGTTTCTGCTGCCACCATCTAGGCACTAAAATGCCGTCAATCCTGCACAGCTTGCTAAATTGACTTCAAGTGCCAGAGCACCCAACTTTTTATTTTTCAAATACTCCAATGTCCGGATAGAAATTAATAACATTATAGATAAAATCTAAACATAACGCGAGGAATACTTTGGGAGAGATAATGAATAGTTTCAACCTAATAAGAATGTGATATTCATTGGAGTAAATAAGAATTTTAGTGTGTTGTATTTATTCTCTTAGCAAGCAATAGGTAATATTTGTCGACCTAAGCAACTTTTGGTTATTTTGGCTTGTATTATCTCGCCAAAAACTACTTTTGCAAGTAGTGCTTAACTTAAACTTATCTAACTTATTTAATCCAGCAAAAACTTTAGAGCCAAGACAAGAAAATCGACTGCCGGCTCAAGAATTCTGTCTAACCTGATGCTCTAGCCCTTAATAAAAATTAAATTGAATAAAACTTATTGGTAATAAATCATTAAAAAAATATAATGATGGTATTGCAAAGAAGATACAAATGGTAACTCAGCAAACGTACGTTTCAAACAATTCAAATAAGGATTAGACCGCAAAAAAAAATCAATTAGAATCAACAATAAAAACATATAATAAAGTTGAATCCATCTCTTCAGTCAAAGAAAATTCGAGCTAGCAGGCAAAGATCTGGTCGTTTTGGATGAATTTCATTACTTCCCGCATGTGAAACAAGCCTTATCTGGCTCTCCTATCGTTTCGGAAGGCAGACGAAACTCCTTATCTCGAATACGATCGAGGTAGGATTTCGTCTTGGTTCCCGAAGGAGGGTGGTCTCACGCCAGTCGAGCCTCGCGGCTCTACCACCGGTCGGGTTCAGTCGCCTCTTACGACTCCCGGGTACCCCGACGTGGGATTGGGGATAGTATTCTGATCCGCCCCAATACGGACATGTATTTTTTGACTATCAAAGCTTTAAAGTAATCTGTTTAGTTATAAGTTTAAACAATTTCGTCACCGTATCTATTGTTCGTTTGTTACATTGCATTTTGTTTCAAAATTGTTAGCAATTTTACTTATATGGTCTTTAATATATGAATTAAAATAAAATAAAAAATGTCTACAACTACATTATTTTTAAATAGAAAAGAATTCTATACATTTTCATTTAAGATATTTATTTGAATAAGTCCGATAAAATCATTAATGCTCTAATAGTTGAAATCGTTCTCTGTAACCTTAAATCCCATCATATATTTCATCCACTTTAAAACTATAAAACAATCATGTCTTTTTTAAAGTATATTTAAAATTAGTGAGTTGTGTGTTATAGATAGAATCTTATTAGAGTAGGTACTCTATATTAGTTCTGTACAGTGAGCGACACAGGTGTGGAGTAGGTAGTTATTTACACTGTCATCACCTACATTTCGCGTAATATTACCATCGTTTTCGGCACAGCCAGTTTATAGTTTCATTTTTCAAGCAATGATATTATAAATGTTAAAATATAATAATATAATTAAATATTTAATAGCTATTACTCAGTTAAAATTGTTTAATTCGTATTCGATATATTAGCGGCGAGTAGATTCTCTACCGACAAGTTGCAGAACTTACTTCGACCGAAAAAAAATACTATTTAATTCAATTCAATTCTCTTGTTAATGGCTTTAAAGAATGCTATTTGAGCACATATTACTTCACCAAATTCACGTAAAATGGAGACATCATTTCATGTGATTAATCAAAGTATGGATATAACATCCACAGACGATAAAATTATTAGAACTGTCAGTGTTAACTAGTTGTTAAAATTGTTGTCCTAACAGATATACACATAAAACAGGCTCAAAGGAAATCTAATCATCGCTAGTAAGAAAAAATCTAGTTCTTTCGTAAATCAAATCGATTCTTTTCTAGGCCTAAATTTTTCTTCTTCGATAAGGCCACATTACTTCCATTACGTAATTTGAGGTCGACAGTCCAATTTTTCAACTACCCACATTCTAAAACTGGCTATACCAAAAAAGATAATGTTTTAAACCTAAAACTACATTAACGGCGAATGAATATATAAATTCATATGTCACGATATACCCTCATATAGGTTTTAGATGAACCTAGACTATACTAGACCTACAATAAACGTGAATGTCGACTAAGGACTATTCACTATGAATTTTTTAACTACTATTAAATGAAATTGAATTCACATATTACTGGAGTATAATTATCTATTATTTTATCTACTGGCCTCGCCGCATGCAAATTTGACTCTTGTTTTAAAAGCATTTGGATCATTATAGCATACGACAAGAGCTCTGGTCTTAATCTACAGCCACACATATAATCTGATGTAGTTTTATTGTATTTAATTATTCTATTATGAACTAACTGATGCCATTCGATGCGATTGCTGCGAACAAGTGTAAGTTGTCTCCTTTCAAAAATATATGAAAGTTAAATAACAAAAGAAAGTAACTATAACATTTAAACAAATAAATAAATATGTTGGGACATTAACACACAGCACCATCTAGTTCCATGGTAAGCTACGAGGCTTGTGTTATGGATACCAGATAGTTGATACACTACACATGTATAACATTAAATGCATACGTATTATAAATATAAACACCCATGACTGGAGAAAAAACATTCATGCTCATCACACAAATGAATGCCTCTTGAATCAATGGACTCGAACCCGCAACCGCTGGCACAGCAAGTAGGGTCACTACAAACTGAGCCAAACGTGTCGTCATTTATATATATATTATATATATTTATTCTTTATACAAAATAATTTATTTACTAATAAAATATAATTGTTTACTATATGGAATACTCATCACACTTATTAGCAGACAGTCGCATTTCGCATCGCGATCGCACAAAAATTGTCTTGAATGAGACTATTATGTGCGTCAATATGCATTAAATTTGTGTTATTTAAACATATACGAGTATTATATGAATCTACGAGTACATACTGTCCTAGGATCCATGAACACGACACCGAGATTTAATCGCTTAAGTAAAATTATCCAAAAGTTTATTCAAATTAATATCTATTTGTATAATATTTTGAATTTAATTATTTTATTCTACGCCCCGCTCCATTGTCATCTTGCTGGTAAAAAATTAATGTACATAACATATGCTAGTTATGCAAATAAAATTATCTTGGTGCGGCATACTGCGATTAAATGTGTTGCGTCTCTCGATAGGAAATTATTTAGAATCTACCTTTGAACTGTAAAAATAAGTAAATTCTCTCTCTGATATGAATTTTGCAGTTAATAGCTAACTTAATTTGTAAGCGAGTGTTGACATGGCAGGAATGGAGGCTGTTTGCGGGCTGAGATCACGTTTTTCATATTTCTTAATCTTTCTTTTTGAGACTTAAGTTTAAGACCAGTTTGCTTAGTTTGTAGCGGTTATAAGCTCTATTGTTTTATTTGTGGTTAAAGAACTTTTCTTGGTTACTGATATAACTTTAGTAGTATGTTTAAAGGAGCATTCTGCACAGAGCTCAGTGTTTAACGATTGACTAGATTTTAGTTATAAGTTCTGATGACAGTAAATTATCAAGAGCATCTTGTACAATTTAAATAAATTTCAACAATCAATAATTTTATTCCAATATTTTCAGTTCTTAGCATTCTAATAAACCATTACCAGTCATTTTATTCTGTGATGTCCTATAACCATTAAAATACTATAGCTATATTAGAACGTGATCTCTAGCTGAAAATAAGTAGTAATAGCAAAGAAAAACTGATATATACATACATATATAAAAAAAGTCGAATACCACTTAGGAGATCAAAGGACGTCATATGTAGTAAATACGTATGTTAAACAAACAGTTATGCATAGAAGTGGGGCACTATTGGGGGGTGTGCAAAGGGGGATGGGGGGCTGGTGTGCATTAGAGCAGCCTGGAGCGCGGGGAGGCGCGAGGCGCGCGCGGCGGGCGCGGCGGGCGGGGGGCGCGCGGGCGCAGGCAGAGCAAGTAGGCGAGCACGAACAGCGCGTAGGGCGCGAGCACGGCGACGGCCAGGCGCGCCACCTGCGCGGGGCCCTCGGGCGACCAGGAGAATCACTTCTCCTCATCCTCATCGCGGAATAAGTATGTCGACCTGGAGGGAGGGAGCTTTCAATATTTTCCTTATAACGTTTCAATATAAAAGACCTTGGTTTCCAAATTTTGTTTCAAAGCAGTTTCAAGGTACCTTTGTTACTTTATTACATTGAAACGAAATTTTATATAGCTAATCAAAAACTGAAAAATAATAAAATATATAAGTACGACACACATGAGTACGAGTCTGTTGTTTCTGTAATTTTTTTGATATTTATTAGCTATAAATATGTAGATACATGCAGGTATCTTCTATTTAATTTCCGCCTTAAATAAAGAAATAACGAATAAACTGACCAGTAAGCCAAGTTGAATAGCGCGAAGACCAGCGGGAAGGTGATCCTGGAGATGACATCTATCCGCTTGGAGCGTGTCGGGAACTTGGACATCCAGAGACGGCAGCAGTTCTTGCGTGGTGGGTTCATGTGTATCTCGCACTGCCGCATCTTGTCCGTCACGCCGCCGCGCATCAGAGGTTTCTGTACGTTGCAGACCAGTCAGGGTGGACGGACAAGGTGCATTTTGGCAAAAATCTTAACAAAACTATTGCCCTAAGCTTTTTATTCTTTATCTGGTTTTTTGGCTATAGATTTTAAGTCATAAATTATGCAAATTAGTCCAGTAGTACGAGTGAGGTCTGCTTTAGTAAATTTTTTACAATAATATCTCATTGAACTACTTATTTATTTAACTTTCTCGTTATTACATATACTCTAAGCTTTGTAAAATTTACTTATATAAATTATATTTGATGAAGGTTTATTGCAGATAATTATTTTTACGCGAAACGCGTAACGCGAACGCGACGAACGCGAATTTTAGAATAATAGTTCCATATAAAGTATTCACTTAGTATTATCAATTATTTTTAAAATTGAATATTCTACAGTATTTACTGGCCTTAAATTTGAATTTTTAGAAATGTTTTTAGTGAGTTTGCCACAATATCTATAATATTTTTTTTTATTTAATAGATATTAAATACATGCTAGGTATAAAAAAAAGAATTTAAGAAAATTTCCTACTTTACATAACAAAATATTAAATAATTATTCAAATAGGATGAATCATATGCAACCATAATGTATAATACCCTCTAATGTCTCATATCAAATTAAAAATGTAACAAATCGAAAATATGAGAGCATTCAAGCAAATAACTGATAAAGAAAAATTATAACCACTGATTCATTCCAATAAATTATAATTTTATCAATAAACAATCTACCCTACCAATCAGACACGCGAAAAATCTTTCCATGCTGATAACAAATCAAATTCATTTATGGAAAATTAACAAATTTAACATTTCCAAATTAATTCCTATAGAAACCATGACAGCTATCTACTTTGTCTAACTAATTGAGTGCGAGCTCACCATAGCGAATGTTGTGTTGCTATCTGTATCCAACAGATCGGATGCTGCGTCCATACTCGCTGCCGCTTCCATCTCCCGTCTCGTTTTCTTCATATTCTCTCGGTGCATGTCAGAGCGAGAGGCATAGTTCACTAGCGCGAACTCCAGTAACGCCCCGAACACGAATGTTAAGCACACCCCGGTCCATACATCGATGGCTTTTGTGTATGAGACGGGGGGTAGGGAGGCGTTGATGCCTGATGATTGAGTCGCCATGGTCAAGAGCGTTGTTACTCCTAAAGACAAGGTTCCTTTTTAGTCCACTTTAAAACTTTGATAAACTTACCTTTTGGACTTTAAAAAGTATATTAAGGAAATATTTAAATTAGTTGCGTTTTGTAATACTCGTAGAATCAAATATAAACCGTACAAATTGTTATTTTTAACTATTATGGCGGATAATTTTGGAATAGATTTGTGTAGATTTTAAATCATCATTTATCAAAATCATCGTTGTAAATTCTGATCATATTAAATTTTGTGTGTTATGTTTATAAGATGTTTGATCTTCATTGATGTAGCGTTAAAAATTTACATCGTTTCATTATACATTTTAAGCTTTTAAAAAAAGAAACATAAAGTTAAGCCAATTCAATGCCCAATTATAATTTTTGTAGACGACTAACCCTAAATAACCACTGAGATATAGAGTTATTAGATATTTAATTCACTAAGTAACTTACCAAGCGAGACCCTCGCGGGCACAGCGCCCTGGTCCAGCCAGAAGGAGACCCATGAGACAATGACCAACATGCAGCACGGGATGTAGATCTGGATGAGGTAGTAACTGAACTCTCTCTTGAACAGCAGGTCTACTTTTAGACAACTGTATTCGCCTGGAATAATCATTAGTATTAACTAACTAGTCCATTTGTGTTTATGATCCCAAATTAAACTGACAAAAAAACTATAGGTTTAAACGCTGAAATCGCATTTACATTAAAAGAAACATTGTAAATCTTTGACCTCGTTACAATTTCAGTTTAAAATAATACTCGTATAAAGTGTATGACGAGAATACATACACAAACGTGTTTGTTTTCTTCACGCAATAATAGATAGTTGGATTTAAGTTATGGCTATTTTAAGTTTATTGTTAGGTTACACAATAGATACTGACAATGGCAACAATTCATTTCGGAAACAACTGACATAGTGCAAAGAAATAAGATTACTCTTAAAGAAAATACTTTATCTAATCAATAAATAATTATTATTACTTCAAAAAACTCATAAAAATACGATATAGTATAGTGTGGCTATACACGAATGTAATACATATTAAGTTAGTAATAAATAGGACTTGGATTAGTTGTCTTATTTAATAACGTCATTACATGGCGACCCTGCCAGTCGGTGCGCGCGCGTCCACTCGACGCGCGTAGAAAATATCAAAACAAACGAATCTTATACGATTTTAGTAATAGTACGGATTTCATACTGTTATGCTACCTTTTTTTTTATGTCGGGAAATGCATTTACGCATACCACCTGATCCCCCTGGTGGTGATGTAGGGCTCACCGGCTAGAAGAGCCGGTACTACCCACTAAAACCCGACATTCCCCTCCCCTCCGCCTTAATGGGACGCCGCAGGATCGCTTGCGCATAACTACTACGGCGCCCCGGATACTGTTATGCTACCTAGTATCTATTTTTTGATAACTCATAGCCATTGAAGAGAACTCCTTTGTGCCTTGAATAATACTGCTAATACTATGGATTTAGTGGAAACGCGAAATTTATAGCTGCTCGAGACATACGCTTTCGTCTAATCAAACATCGTAAATATCTTTATTACCAGCAAGTTTTCTCACAATATAACCAACAGTTTATTTGTGATGCGTGTTTTAGCAAATAGTCTACTTATGCGAGCGCCGAGAGGGGGCAATGGGGTGACTTGCACCCCTTTGCAAAAAAAATTACACTAATAAATTAGAATTATAAAGTTAATCATTTAAATATTAGTAGTTTAATGTAAAGAAGCAGATGCATTCCCAAGGAAATAATTGTGCCACCGCCCATGAGTCGCCAAAACGTCAACATTTCTAAAATCTATGCCTATACCTTCTATTAGGTAGATACTATCGTACATATCTAACGTCTAACTATATAGTAGACGTTTTATCGAATAAATGACGCAAATGTATGTATATAAATAAATGTATGTATGTAAATATAAGTATAATTAATAAAATGTATGTGCATTATACATAGGACCGAACACGTCTTTCGTAATGCAAGACAACGTACACCGCTAAATACGATGCACGGATATTTATCGGCAGCCCTGGATTTATACTAGGGGCATTTGGGGCTAGTGCCCAGGGCGGCAAATTTTTAGGGGCGGCAACATTCGGAGGATGGCAAAAATATTTTCTTTGCATTATCGAAAATACTTTTTTTTTATTTTACAAAAAATGCAAAATAAAAAAAGATTAACTAGTAGGTACCTACATCTTTCGAAAAATTGATATTATTTACAAATTATTTCTTTGCATTTAAAAAAAAAAAAAAGAAGAAAAATTTAAACTTTGAACATTTTATTCAAAATTTCGATAATATAGCGGCATTTTTTACTATGCCTAGGGGCGGCACTAAGGTTACATCCGGCACTGCTCATCGGACTAGTCAAACAAATTGAATGTAATTTAAGATATATTCGGGATTAGTGCTATAGGATATAATTTTTTGATTGTTACACCAACGAAAATGTATCATGTGAACTTCTCTCTCACTGTTCCAACGTGCATATCGTGTGAACCTAATCTTATGGCGGTCGTAGAATAATTTATACAAATTGTTACTGCTCTACATATAACATATTCGTGCAGAGAGCACTATCAAGTAATCAAAGCTTCACTTCAAAGGGTATGTATGAGAGGAACAATAAATACGTGAACGCGGCTCACATTTCATTGTAACCTACTTCACGTCACTTGTCACTTACATGCAGTGAAATTGCTTTGCGAATTTTATGCGTGTTTTTTTAAAGAAAACTTTTAATTTTCGTATAAAATTGTGATTACAAATAAAAACAAAGTTAGTTCGCATGGCGAAATTTTGAATTTCATAGGGCTTTATCAATACTAATATTATAAAGAGGTAAAGTTTGTGAGTTTGTGACGGGATTGTGATCTTTATCAATACTAATATTATAAAGAGGTAAAGTTTGTGAGGGGATAACCTCTGGATCTACATTTAGATGAAATTTAGTAAGAAGATAGTTTGAGACCCTGGGAATGACATAGGATACTTTTTATCCCGGAAATCACCCCTTAAGGAGGTGAGAATGGGGATCAAAGTTTTATGGAGAAGTAAGCTAGAGACAAACCAGAGCGAAGCATGGTTGAGTCGCTAGTTATAATAAAAACTAAAACTGTATTTAAATAATAACTGTATTTTAAGGGGCTTTCACTAGCAGATAGCTGATGTTATAAGGAATAACTTAGATTAATTTTATTTTAGAAAAATAATTAGATTCCGCTCAAAAAAAAACCTAGGGACGCACCCAACGTGCGTACGAGTAAGAAACTAGTTCTAAATAAGTTCATCAAATTATAAGTGCCCTTAGTGTAATACTTACCAGTATTAGTTTTGCTGTTACAATAATCAGTGAGGAACTTCTCTAGAGTGAAGCGAGGCAGGTGTAGGTTTTTCACAACCTGGACAGGGTCGCCTTCTTTCCACAGAAAAACTAGATCATCAGTCGTCCAACCATCTACAAATAATTTAGATTTTTAAGTCTACTCATAATAATAATGTCAAATTTAAAAGAATTTGTCAAATCTGACTGATAGTTCTAAAAATTAGCGTTCAATCAAACAAAATAAACAAACGAGAACTTTTGCTTGATATTACTATTAATAAGATAATGCCCGGCATTACTATACACGCACACGTTATGGTTTATGTTGATGATTCAAATGTTGAATAAATTAAAAATAAATTACGGTACAACCATAACAAATAAGAGCAGTAATAAAATAATTTTAAATGTGTATTTTATCGCCAATACGTTGAATGGTAACAAACGTGTTCTTTTTCTTTTAACACAGTTATACATTGCTGGCGCTCTTTGTTTACAGAATACGATTGAAATCAGATTTTTTGTAAATATTGAATACTATTGGGAAATTCTTGGATCACTTGAAATATGCGTGTTATAATGTCGGGCATGTCTTTGAAGCAATACAGTCTGCCGTTTGCGTCATAACTGCTTTGTTTTAGTGATATGTTATAATTATGCTTAAAGAGTACCTAAGAATTAAATAATACACAGTGCAATATCAGTGTATTTTTTTCTTTATAATGAGAATATTCTTCATAAACAACAATTTCTTTTATTTCAGGGAAAATATAATCATCAATATTTTTGTGATTGTCAAATCTTGTACTTACAACTGGCCATCCTTAATGAGCAGGTCTGTTTGTCCAATGGGTATAGCTTCAGGTTCATGGGGCAGGATAGAGTTAAAGAGATTCGGATGCTGTACAGTACGTTGCCGTTAGGAAAGATCCGAATGTATACATTCGGCATGATGATATTGTGGAAGTGGCCTTCCTTCTCGTTTGAGAAGAAGAGATCCGGCATCCATACCCTGTTTGCTTCAGTCAGGGTTAGGTACTTGAGACGTCCTGGTCAAATGCATAGTATTTTTAGAAGTCAACTCACGAGTATGTTTACGAAAATGAAAATTCACAATTCAAATAATTTATCTTTAAATGTCACACCTAAAAGTTACATTTATAATTTAGTAAAAAACCAAAATTTAACTTACCACCTAAGTTGTTAAACTTGAGCCTCTCATCTAACCATTGTTCCCTGAACGTCAATTGTACAGAGTATTCCTGGAAATATTAAACTGCTTGCAAAACGCTTACATTGAGTTTGAATTCCTTTGGGATAATCAAATTTTGCTAGTTACAAAAAGTGTATAAGATGTTCGAGATTTGATTAACCACAAAGGAATATCGAAACTAAATCTCTATTATTCTGTTGTAAACTTCCAAGTCTATGGCTTTACTGTTGAAAGTACTCTATAAGCTTTCATGGGACTGCAGGTATTACAGTGATTTTGTCATCGAAAAAAATCTATTTCTCAACTATATATACTGTTTCATAAAAATCACCAGAATCGTAGCTATTGAATCAAATATTAAATAAACAATTGCGCTAAAAGGAGGGATTTGAGATAGAAAATTCAATAAAAAGTTTAATTCAAATATATAACTACGACTTTGGATCTGACATAAAATGCGACGACAAAATCAAACTCTGTTAATTAAAGGCAGATGTTTCATAGTGATCTGGAGGACAACACGAGTCTACCAACTTGCTCGTTTCGGAAAGTGCTATTAAATTTAGGTGCAAAAATCGATTAGCCAATATTAAAATAACTGATACTTCTAACATCGAATAAAAAAGAAATGTTGGTGTCGAAGGTTCTCAATAATTAATTAACACATAATAAAGTGAGCAACAGATCCCTCGACATCAAAAGAGCAAGTCAAATGAATTATCGTAACATATAAAGCTCGCTACAGTACACATTAATCATGCTGTGAAGTTAGCTTTTGGTTTTTTTTAATAATAAAAATAATATCGACTGTCTCGTTGTCTATCTTCATCTACACTTCTATACTAATATTATAAAGAGGTAAAGTTTGTCAGTTTTTGACGTTGTAGGGGGTAATCTCTGGATCTACTGAACCGATTTAGATGAATTTTGGTAAAAAGATAGTTTGAGACCCTGGGAAGGACATATGATATTTTTTATCCCGGAAATCATACCTTAAGGGGGTGAAAATGGGTATGAAAGTTTGTATAGGAAAGCAGGCTAGGGACGAACCCGAGCGAAGCGAGGATGAGTCACTAGTTTAGTTATAAAGGCCAAATATATATATTCTATTATTGAACATTATTACTTGTTTAGTACTAAAATTCTGCACACAAAGGCACAATATACGCATAATGGCCAAATTGTCGATAATGGGATAATTGCATTGATATAGTAACAGGAAGACAGTGATGGATGCCGACAAAATCACCAGAATGGATTGCTCACTTAATATATTGGACGTGAGCCAGACGTGAGCTGTAATTTAATGTATGCAATATTTTTTTCCTCTTCTTAAGGGCTTGCAAAGTACTTGTTTAGGATTTATTGACCAGAATTTTCAGCAAAACTAATATTAACATATATTTTTAGACTAGAGACACTATTAAAACTGATTTGTTAAATAAGTACTCAGTGTCAACTATATCATTGTTTTCTTTTGCCTCAAATCTTTATATTATGTTTGACAGAGAAATATTTAAAGGGTCTAAGAACATTTAGAATTCGCAATAATATTAATTCAATGAAATTAATTAAAAATACCCAAATGCTAACTTCTCTACTTAATATATCGATATAAATGTGTAAATTGTCTAGGTTAGGATTAATTTACAAAAGTCAATTCGTGAGAACTATCATGCAGATATTTAACACCTCCAGGTAAATTTCTAAGAAATTAATCAAATTTCTAAGAAATCTATTGTTAACTGTAACGCCGGCGTGTCCGCGGTCGTGGAGGGAATATACTACAAAAAAAATTCTCCACGTGTTCTGGAAAATGGTTCGTGACTAGTGATGGACCGAAAAATTTATATCGATATAATTTCTCCAAGGAACATGCCACATTCCTTCAATATCAAGCGCAATTTCCAAATAAACTCACCGTCAGCATTCGTCGATGGAATGCTTAAACCTTCATGCAGACTCAAGGACCAGATAACTAGAGCTACGGTACGATATTACTAGCTTCAGGGCGAGGGTCACATATTGCGGTCAGGTGGTCAGCCACCGAAGCACCAAGGCGAGTGCGGACGCGACGATAGATCCCGATACAATGATAACTTTACACAACACAAATTCACATGAACAAGACAATATCAATTATGTCACAGTCAACGTACACGACCAAAATAGTTTTTATATTTCTTCAAAAAAATTGCATGACAGTAATTAACAGGAAGCATGATGAAAATAAAAGAATAACAACTAAAATATGAGATGACGTAGAAGGTGCGGGCCGCGTTCACCTAGTGACCTATTCCGAAGCGTGGCTTCTGTAACTTTACAGTTGATCGTTTCTTTTGTGCTGATTGTACCGAAGCGGTTAATTTTGTGCTGTCTACTATATATAATATGCCAATGTCCACCAGTGTTTGTACAGAATACCGTGCCCTCTAACTGCGACGAAACTAAAAATAATTAAAATAAAAACCAAAAATAACTAAATTTAGAATAAAAATCAGGATTCAGTTTTAATTTTAGTTCCGATTATATTTATGCTATTATTAATTGTATTATTAAACCAATTTTATATATATTTTATCAACTATTTAAACACACGGGTAACGCGGCTCCGCACCGCAGTGTCATTAATTAGGGGGGGTTCAAACATAATCAGTTTAGTAATGAACATTTATTGACTACAACTGTGCAAAATATACATGTAAATAAAAATAATAATAAATATAAATAATAATAAACGAAAAATAATCACAAACACATACCCAAATATACGATAGCTTGAGATAGAGCACAGTGCATCATTTATACCCATTTGTATACAGCCAATTTTATTATAAGCAAAGTTTTGAAGTATCATACAGCAGGACCATTCAGACACACGGTCATCCACAACCTTGCTTTATAATAAAAGTGTCGTGATTTATATCATTTGGTTAATTGGTTATGTGCAACCACTCACCATTTTGTAATCATCTATTTTGCTGATGGATCGTAGATACAGGTTGACGCGAACTAACGTGGGCGCATCGCCTTTGAGAAAAAAACATGATTTTAACATTTTAAACCGCTTTCGACATGAAAATAACGTTGCAGACCCAAGTACGAGACGGATGATGTAATGTCAGGTGTTAGCAGCTAATGAAGTGGAACTGATCGCTAGTGCGCAGTCCATTTCATTAAGAGAGCCAGTGCTCGAAAATCATAAAAAAGAAAAACAATCAACCAGTCTAAATTAAGAAAAGTACGGCATTAAGTGTAACAAAAATAAATCGCTGGAATGTATCAACTGAAATGGTAACCGAACATCCAATTATTTATTTGTTAGATCTGAGAGCGAAACTCTTAAGATGGTGAAATAAAATCGCGCGCGATAAAAACGATTTTGGTCGCAAACACCAAAGGGAAGAAGAGAAATAAAAAAAGTATTATATAAAAACTGAACTTTACATCGGGTAAGTCCCTCCAAAATGTGGAGTCACTTGCCCATTCATTTGACTTGTTTGAAAATGAAACCGGATTAAAAGAATTAAAAAAGAAAACAATCTCATACATTATCTTAGTCTAAGCATGGTCCAGTCGGTCGTTGACTTACCATTGTGACGTCATCGATTTTTGATATACTTCGCACAAATATATTGACGCTCACTACGGCTGGCCCATCTAAGTACCAAGCAAAATATACGGTTGATATTACATTACAAAAAAACTCTAAACCCTAATGGAGCAAACTTTTCACGCGGTGCCGACTCTGAAAACCACACACTTTTCTAATTTTACTCACCTTTTGCCTGCAAATTTTATTTACAAACCTATACTTATAATGTCAATGATTTAGTCGATGATATAATATTATGAAATAAAAAGAAATGACTAAAAAGAAATGAACTTAAAAAAAAATATGGGAGGATACTCAAAGTCAACTTTGGCTTGTTTATAGGAATTTGTGTTCGTGTTTTAGTCTGAACTTTGGGCACAAGCATTCTAGTCAACGTAATTATAAAAACTAATAATTATATATTCATATATAGATATAAATTATTTCACTGAATATGTTAAGTCAGAAGTGTGTGAATGTCGCCAAAGCACCACATGTGTTCATTTGTTTTGGCTGGTTTCATGACTTCGAGGTGAATGAAAATTAATGCTCAGCTAATTTCAAATATTTTAAATACATCTAAATACATATATAAGAACATAAAATAAATAAAAGAACAAAAGTGAAAGTCCTAAATACTTTAATGTAAAACTATGTCTAACCCGAAATCGTAACTCGAATTATAATCACTGGACGGATTTTAATTCAACTTTATTTGATACTTTCTTATTCTTCTTTGCAAAGGTTTACCTGATGGCGGCATACCCTCGTATTGCCTTCAAAATATATTAAGAAATATATTTAGTATGCATCAACTTAATTTTATATTCTTTAGGTGGATTTTGGAAAGGATTACGCTTAAGTTGTAACCGAGGGTGAATTTGGAAGATTGATTGGCAGTGATTTACATACATACTCGTATATTAGTAACATAATTTTATATATCTTTTATTATTATACACAAACAATTTCATATTTATATTTTTTTGTTACAGTCCAATTGTAAGTCACAATATAGGTTATGAACAAACTGAATACAAAAGATAACAATCGCGTGCTTAATTCTATTCTATTGATTTTTTAATTTACACTTTTACAATGTATGTTATAGTATATAGCTTCGTAATCTATACGTACACAAGAAACAAAGATATATGAACTAAAATAAAATTAATATATAAGAGTTTTAAGACATTTTAAACTTTAAGTTATGATCCGACCACGCCCGCACTCTTGCGGTGGGACAAAAATCTATCCACCAGGCCGTAATATGAGTAAAATTACTCAATTTTTACGACTTACTAGACATAATTATATGTGAAATGCTATCGGAGATAATTAATTTTCTAAAATATCGCGTTTTATGTCTTGGAAGTCGCCAGACACTCAATCACGATCAGGCATTGGGATGAAAAAAATTAAAAAAGACAGAGGAGTCCTACGGGTATTCCCTTACCATAGAGTTACAAATAATAGTAATCACTTTAGAGTTACCAGTAAACTATATTACTCTAGTAAATTAACATATTTTTTGTTAATTTGCATTTTATTAGTACTCTTTTGTAAAATTTCCTATTTTTTTAATATATGTATTAGTTATTTGGGATGGCATCGATACAATTGCTTTATTAATCCTATATTTTTTAAAATAAATGTATGCAGACTAATCACCAGTATTGATAACAATCTCATGGTAAGGGCTTTAGCGGATTGTACAATATCTCACTTAAAAATTAAAAAAAAAACTAATCTAGCATCGAAATTTTTAATATATTATATTACTAATTTTACCGATTAAAATTATAATCAGTCTCGGCGAATAAATACTCTAAAGTGAGATATGATACAAAATTAAAAAGCTTACGACCGCCGTCTATTCGTTGTATTTACTAACCATCTTAATGTCGCTTATGGTGGTTATACTTCTGACGAACAGGTTTATATTAACTACGGCAGGACCATCTGTTAAACATGTCATTTCCTTACCAGAGTATCAATCACTATATAACACAAATGTCTGGTCTGTCTGTTCGTACAGTTTCAAATATAAATATCATTATTTATATAGATTATGACACATTTTCAAGAATCGGAATTAATTATTAATCTGTGCGAGACCTGGCTAGTTCAATGTTAAAAATATTTATAAAGCAATAAACCAAAGCTGGTCAAATTTTAGCTGATACAGGTGCAACTCAAATATAACTATTTATTTAAAGTGACAGCAAAAAATTGTAAAAAAAATATATTACTATTTAATTTAAAGCACTCATATTGAAAGTATAATATTTTTTATAAGTTCAAATAAAGTTGGTACTTATGTATATATTAAGTACTAAGTATCGAATATTTAAATATAATCGGGGCTTGTATAGCGTTCGCTTAGGCATATTGTGTGCGAAAGTTAGAATAAATTAATTAATAAAACCGTATTTTTCACCATTCATCACTACACCATGCTAAATAATTCCATTATTTCGTAAACTGTGAGGGACGTTCATTATTATACAAATCACGCCACTCTTCTATTTCAATGTTACTAAAATAACTTATAAAGATGAAAACTTTTCGAAATATACGTTTTCTTTTCGACGTCTATGTTATTATGTGTTATATCTCGATCATTAAAACGTAAATATTTCCACAATCTGTAGGCATACTTTACTGAATTGCTCTTCTCTTAAGCGACTTTTTACTCAGCACTAATGATAGCCGCCTCAGGATGATACTCCAAAACATATTATGATACCGCTAAAAACAACCGCTTAAATGATTTATGACCGGCTTTCAGCGACGAATAAAAACGTAACGATATAATATTTAATTTTAAAACCACAATAAATTATAAATTAAAACAAATTACTTTAAAACACATATGTATTTCACAAGGACCTGTTTTAGGACCTCTAGTATTTATTTTGTATGTTAACAGAAATTTTGAACATAAAATGTTGTCGCGTACTTAATTGTGTAGAATACATTACATAAATTTAATATAACACCTAAATATTATACAGTTTTTGAAAATCAACAATTTTCTTGAAGTGCGAAGCAGCCATGTGTCGAATACGAATAACATTGCTATGTTGTCGAAGAATTGCACGTGAAAGGCATATTTATATATAATTTACAGTGGTTTAGTGGTATATTATGAAGGAGCTTACTCACCAGTGCCATTGATGCCAGATGGTCGGATTCGAGCGTCGTATCGACCTGGACCGAGGATCTGGTCCAGGATCTGTTTCTCTTTCTCTCTGAAGTTTATTTTCGCGTTCATACATCTAAGTGGAAAACATTGGTTGTAGAAAACGATATGTATGTATATAATATTGAAAGCTAAGAGAAGACTTAAAATCACTTTGAATATTAATAGGCTGACACCGAAGAATCGATGAGGAATCACAAGTATTTAAGGACTTTAAATCATCATTTCGTACTATATCATGGTTGTAAATTATAAAATTGAAATCGTAAATTAATATAGTAGATAAAATATGAATAACTCCAGTTGAGTTATGAGTTTTGTTTGTTAATAAAAAATAGCTCCCTCGTAACAGGTAATAAGTACTTGAAGCGTTTTTATGTGCTAATTACCTGACCTAATGAGCACCTTATGACGACCCTGTGCATAACTATGAATATTTAAGTAAAGCTAAAAAACCAAATAATTTTGTGTGGTATTCTGATAAGAAAGTTTTTACATAAACAATCTGTACTAATATTATAAAGAGAAAAGATTTGACTTTTTGTTTGTTTGTTTGTACAGAATAGGTTCCGAAACTACTAAGCCGATTTAGATAAAATTTGGCAAGAAGATAGTTTGAGACTCTGGAAAAGACATAGGATAGTTTTTATCCAGGAAATCATACCTTAAGGGGGTGATAATAGGGATGAAAGTTTGTATCGGGCATCAACCTCGGGACGAACCCGAGCGAATCGAGGGTGAGTCGCTAGTGTTAGCATAAAGTAAAAATTGTTAACTGGTTATTTTAAGACTATACAATGTGTGGCAAGTGTTAACACATTGTAATAAATTATACTAAAATAATAATATTTCTTTCGATGTACCTACTATGTCAGCAAAGTCGCGGGCAAAAACTAGTAATACTAACTACTAATACTAGATATACAGATTCTAAGAATGTCTGCACAAGAGATTAAAATCTTTAAATAATATGTGGCAATTTTACGTATACAATTAAAGAACGTTATCAAATAATATTCTCAGAAGTGACAAAAATAAGTATAGATGAATAATACTTCCTTTCTTACTCTATTAACATAAAGAAAACGATATCTGGTCTCTTTTCATATTTCATAATAAATTACTTAATTATTACAAACTAAATAAATTCATTACTTTAAAAATTTAAGATTTAGTAAGCGATTAGCAATAGTTATAAATGAGCGAGTCTCATAGAGTCAGTTTGGACTTTCACCATTGATCTTGGCAAATCTCAGGAATTCGTTGTTTTACAGTAACATAAATAAATATTATTATTCCAATGGATATAAAATATGAAATATTCGTATAATTCTAAAGAAATTCCACCAAAAATATTCGACTGTATTATTTTTTTTAAATATAAGCGCCTCCCATTTAACGATATAACAACGTTAATATGTCAGCTGTCGACAGACACAAAGTGTTCTACGACTCTTATTTTTACATTAAAGAAGTTTTTTTAACTAAAATGTTTTTTCAAGCGCTACTGACTAGATAATTACTGCTTTATTTTAACGCCAAAATAAAATCGTGCGTAATGTTATTTTAAACACGAAAATTTAGTTCATTTAATTTATTTTTAACGTACGCACGCATGGAACGTTATGAAATGAAACGCGTGCTACGCGTTACGCGTGCGTCGAGATTTTTACATAAATGTCTAGTAAAAAACTATTACTTATCTGTACAGATAAATAAAATTGAAGTGTCTGTTTGTAATGTCAAAATGACAGCATAAATTAATGAATGATAAATGCATGTGAAATTATATACGGTACCTACTTATAAAAAAAACACAAGTTTTAAATTTTTTGCCTGTCAGTTTATTCTAGCTTATCTCCGATACGGCTGGGCAGATTTTGAAGGGAATTTCACTTACAGCTAGCTGATATTATAAGGCTATTTTTATTTTAGAAAAAGTATAGGGTTCCACTCAAAAAAATTAAAAAGTCTCTAGTATATCATGTAGTAGTAATTGCAATAATAAGACTGCCTTGTTAGTGTAGTGGATAGCTTGTACGATTGCACATCTTAACATCTGTGTTCCAAGCCCGGGTGAGGCCGGGAAATTATTGGGGTTCTATCAAGAAATACTAAGTACCAGGCCTAAGGTTGGATTTGCTGAAGAAGAAAATGTTTTTTACACTCCTGAGTGTCAGATAGCATATAAAACTGTCAATCTTGTGCCTAACACCCCTCTCTGGTCATGTTTACATTCCGTCGGAATATGAGAATAAATATACCAGTGTGTTTCTTTTTTCAGAATAATATCTTCAGTATAGATGCCTCATTCCATTGATTTGAACAGAGACCGAGGTCATTTAGTATTACATTATATGTAAAATACATTCAAATAAATAAATCTTGCAGATTTATCGACACAATAGAAGAAGAAATAGAATAAAAATAATATAAAACTCTTGATTATTATCAGACACAAAGACAATTTAATAATATTAACATAATACAGTTAATAACTTCGGTTGTATAGTTCACAAGAGGGATATTTAGAAAATACAAACATAATAAATATTTATTGTTGGATGTATAGTCGGAATTCTTGTTTATTTCCACTTAATTGTTAGTGTGTAAGATTTAAATAAGTAGCGACTATGCTATTTCTTTATATATGTAGCAATATACTCTATGGCTTTTTGTAACAATACATCATGATGACATGTGTCTTTATAAATCAATGTAAAGTTGTTTTCAAAGTCCGTCTCAGTTGTAAACGATTTTATTAACTGTCACTTCACTTAATAGCGTGGATTATGTTGGTAATCTCAACTACTTGTTGTAGAGACATAGGAACGCTGGCATCCTTAATCAAACGTGCCATCATCCCTCACTCAGAAGACTTACGAAGAGACCTAGAAAGGAACACAGGAAGACGAAGAGACTAATCAGAAAGCTGACATCCTAGACCTATTATGCCAGTATCCAACAGCAAGATGACACGGGAGCATACAAAGTAAGACTGGAGAAGCAATCGGGAAGCTGGTATCCTACACCAAAAAAACCAGTATCCCACACAAAGAAGTTCTGAGAGCACATCATCAACTTGCAACTCCACTGCTCGTAAAGCTCCAAACCTAAACCATGAGGGCTCATCTATCCTGAATTCTATAATTACATAAAACTTTGATTCTCAAATTTGTACACGAGATTATAAAAATAAAACCAAAAATTATTAAAGGCAATAAAAAAAACAAATTAGTGTAATGACTTCCTCTAACAACAAATATGATCTTCAAAAATGCGAGTGGAAATAATTTTGAACAGAAATAGATCACCATGTCGTTACAACCCGGCGTCAATATTTATGTAGCTACATACTTCAGTGCCTGAATAATTTATTTTTTGTCGAGAAAAATATGGAATATTTAAAGCTTTTAACTGGATATTTAAAATAAATCTCACCTTAAAAATGTTGTCTAACGCAATTCAATATATTTTGTAACATTTTTTTGGACGTTTCCCAAATTTATTACATAATTTTTTTGAAATACAGTTCGCGTTATTCATCTTAACGTACATTTTATACATATTTGTACATCACGTTTTATTAATCAAATTACGGCATTTTTTTTGCAAGAAACGTTGATTTATGTGTAAATAACTCATCTTTTCTTTTTCTCTAGCAGCAAAATTACACTGTGCTAGGACAGTGATCTTAAATAATATACATACATATTTTCACGCTCTCAATAACCCAAATAATTACATTATATTTCTTCGCTTCATTGTTCAGATAAGTAGATATAATATAACCAGGTAGACCTTTTAACCTATCAGGTAGCTTTCGCTACATCTAAGAGTTTTTTTTAATACTTACGTTGCGAATTGTATAATAAATAGTACTAAAAGAACAAGGAGGGCGCATGATGGCCGAGTGATGTCCATCCTCTGTCTGAAACAAAAGATATATTTTATTATTTTGTATTAAATTATTATTAATTAACTATAAGACTAAGAATAGAATACATCCCCCTTAAAGTCAGTGGTAGCAAAATCATTTCTAACATGATTACCACTTGTCTTACGGTGAAGGAAAACATCGTGAGGAAACCTGCATGTCTGAGAGAAACTAGCAAGTTATTGAAAGACTTGTGAAGTCCGCTAACCCGCACTTGGCCAGCGTGGTGGGCTATGGCCTGATCCCCCTCGTATTGAAAGGAGGCCCGTGCCCAGCAGAGGCACGTTAAAAAGAACTGAATACATACATCTCCCTTAGTCAAAATTATGTGTCTATACCATTTGCTGTAGAAACCCTTGGTCAATGGAGTCGAAGTGCTAAAAACTTCTTAAGTGATTTGTAAAAAAACCTATTATAATAATTACCTGCACAGGCACTAGCACAGATCTTATATAAATTACAAAAGCAAGCCACGTAGCCATACGCGCTTCTGGTTGTGCCTCGTCATTATGACCGCATACTGCTATAATATGAATATGAAAGACTAAATCGTGTTCACAAGCAATTAACCTCCATAGTTTATAAGTAGTAATTAGCCCTTTTTCTATCAACTTTTAATTTTCACTACAATAAATTAACAAACTTAATTCTCGACATACGACTTTGTTCGTGGAGCTTATTCAAAACAAAATTGTAAAAGAAAAGCAATAGCAATCTGCCTGGGGACTTAAAATACTAGAAACTATAAATTTTACAAGTGTAATATGCTATGAAAACTGCTGCCGGTCCTGTACCGGAAGATGATGATGTAGTCCCACCGGTGTGAAAGTGAAAAGAATAGATACTGCACTTGTGTTTGTGCGCATACTTGTGCACTATATATCTCCTGTGCAGACCTGCGATTTTGGTGAATCATTTGGAGATTGGCCGAACTCCTTCTTCATTTAGGTACTTGTAGGACAAGCTAATACTGTTAAGGCAAGTTATGATCTAGAACTATGTTAACATACATCGCCGAAAAGTGGTAAAGCACAACCGAAAGCAAAGCCTGTAGCTTTAATAAAACATAGCCTTAACATGTTACGCGAGATTTTTATTAGTGTTAACCGATTCTAACATTTTTTATGAATAGGTTTTGGAGATAAAATTTGTAGTCCTAAGTGTGCGAATACTTTATTGTTGATTATGTTTAAAAAACAATGTTAAATAATTATATACCTTTTTAAATAGAAAAATTGTGTAAGCTTATGAAAATAGAGTCTCAGTATTTATTTATTGTATATTTTATTAATCAATTATATATTTTATTAATCCCGTGACCATGGATGCTGTAAAGCATTTGAAACGTCGGGAACCAAAAATCTAAATAAATCCGCGAAATAATCCGAAAAGATAGTTTTATTTAAAAATGTCAAACATTCGCGTAAATCTAAGAAAGTATTAATATTTTTTTTAATAAAATTGAGATGGATTATATAATTATTGAACAGCAATAATTAATTATATATGTGTATCATATATTTTTTGTGACATTTGATGTATTTCTTATAGTCTTAATCCTTGGCCTATATGATTTGTTTATTTGTTTAATTGAGTTTTGGCATTGATTTCTGGTTATAGAAATATTACCTCAACCATATTATTCTATAGATATTGGTATAATGTATTATATAATATATATTACATATAGGCAGTGGTAGCCCAGTCATTCAGTGGTAGCACGCTTGCTTGGGAAACTGAGTGAAGCGGGTTCAAATTCCGGCTCTCACATCTCTGATATTTTCATGTGCGAATCATTTCCAACATGATTATTACTTGTCTTACGATGAAAGAAAACAACAGTTTTCGAAAGATATGTGGACTACACATATCTATCGAAAACCTTTGTTTTCCAACCTGGACTTGGCTGGCGTGGTGAACTATGGCCTGATCACCCTAGAAATCAAAGGAGGGGCCTCCTTAGTGGGACGTTAAAAAAATGAATACAATGGATTATATATGCATTGGTTTACTTAGCTTAGCTTACTAACTGCTTAACTTTTGCTTTGAAATTACTGAAAGATATTTTGTAATGTAGAAACTACAGAATTAACAACTAAAAAAATCCTTTGGTCTTCTTTTACCATCTTTTAATTCGTGTAGGGTATTCTATACAGAAGAATACTAGGATATAGCAGAGACAGCTAAACAAATATTTTCTAAGTCACATTTACTTGACCTTACAGCCTGTAATGTTATTTAAAGGCCGTACCCATGTAAATAAGTAAAGGACACGCGAAAATTGAGTCAGGTCCCGACCGCCGCGCCGCTCCGCCGGATGTAAACAAATTAGTGGGAAGCTAGCACTGATCAAGTTAAAGTTTTATCGATAGTCGATATCCTACGTAACTACTATGTAACTCAATTTTGTAAAATATTCTAAGTAATATTTTATATATAGATTTAACTAAATAGTATTTAAGAAGCTTTTTAATATTAGTTTTATATACAAGTACTAAAAATGTTATGATATCGTAAGTAACAAAAAAGAATTTAGTGATGTAATTAGGCTAGTGAAAAATCAGTATGAAATCCAAATAAATGCGCATTAGAGAAGGTACTTATCGTTTTTTTTATAGTATTAAACTATAAAAAAAACGATCGATCGATTTATCTAATTGATAAGTACCTACAATGATCTTAGGGCCTAGCCGCAGTCGGGTAAAAATAAGTATCTAATCGGTGACATACTCGTAAGTTTATTAGAACATACATATTTGTATTTAAAAAAAACTTTGTACAATTTATAACGAAAAAAATTATTGTTATTCTGATGTATGAACTATATTATAGTAAAGTTTCATTAAAATCCAATCAGTAGTTTTTGTGTACTAAGCTGTATAAGTTACTATAGTTTTTTAACTATCACACGGGAACTCTTTACTTTTCCGAGATGAAAAGTATCTAAAATATTGACCGGAGATATAAGATACCACCATGCAAAATTTCATTTAAATCGATCCAACAATTTCGGAGATTAGCCTGTACAAACAGACCGAGAAACAAAAAAAAATAAACAATCTGGATTTGTTCTATTTCTCCTCTTACACCCCCCTGACTCGGTTTTTAGCATTTTTTTCTATGTACAGACATTCGACCTCTACAGTTTTATTATATGTATAAATATAAAAACGCATTAATGTTACGTACCCTAATTACAAATCGAACCCGCAACCACATCAGAGCTTTTTTATCAGTTGCTGCAAGCATTTGGTTAATTCCGTTATTATTTTCAACCGTATGGGACAAGTAACATGATATTACTCGAAACATAAATATCTCTTTTTAAACAGTTACTGAAAATGCTAACATTTAAAAAAATAATTATGAGAGTAAAAATTTAGAGTTCTCTAATGACTGATATTTAAAGAAAAAAGTAAAGTCTAAACTACCGCGTTACTTTGGAAGACGGCCAGTAATTATAAAACGTGTGAGACTCTTTAATGAATTCCTAAGTACCTAGTAAATAATTAGCAAAATTAAAAAAAATAAAATAAATGTCAGTATTTCTAAAGTCTCTTATTATGTAAAAAAAAATTAAAAATATGATCATCTTTCATCAATAATCCACGTTCGATGCATTATAATACATTTTCGCTGTTAAAAAAGTTTTAATTTTTTTTTATTGGTTTAAGAAATTTTAATGGCAAAATGCTAAATTGCTCATAAAATAAATATTTCAATTCAAACACAACTTACGATTTATTTGATAATCACTGGAATGCACCCGCGTATTCGCAAAACGCTCTATAAATAACTAAAAACTGTTGCCAATGCACTCCTAAATGTCGCACTAATTAAAGTATAAACACTAAATTTGATTCATTTGGTTCATACATAATATTTATTACTTAACGTGAGAGCTGACAGCACGTCTGTCCGTGTTAACGGCTTGACGGCAACTGTACGGTGGGTGTAGCCTGTAGTTCTAATCTGTCAAGTACAATCTCAAACCAATATTTCAACGGGATATGCATCTGCGCAGATGCTGTAAGGGTGTAACCTTTGACCTCAATATTAACTTTTAAAATAATTCTATATTTAAATAGTAATCCGAAACATATACCGAATTAAACCATCTTTAAAATTCGCTGCGTAAAAATAATAACCAATAGTAAAGAATACTTACTGTATATTCGATATGTATATATCATGAACGAATGTGGCTAATTCGTTCATGGTGTGTATATATATATATATATATATATATATATATATATATATATATATATATATATACCATTTATATATACCATATATATATATATATATATATAATCTTTAGGTTAATTCCTCATTCGCAAAAAAAATTCTCTGAAACGGTTGGACCGATTTTGACGGAACTTTCACTAGCAGATAGCTGATGCTATTTTATTTAATCAATTTTATTTTAGTAAAAGAATTAGGATACCACGCAAAATAACTAAAACCCATAAAATTGTGAATAAAATCCGTGTACTTAGGGACGAACCTGAGCAAAGCTCTCTCAAATACAATTCTTAAAGGAATATTTTATTATCCATTTTGCCTCCTGCTCAACTGAGGCGGTAACCTTATATTGGAATGATGTAAATGTCACCGTGACAGTGACAGGTCAATTAGCGTTTCAGAGGAGATACGTCGTTTCTTTGTTCGGCGTTTTTATAAAACAATGGTTTTAGCTTTTATACTTTTAGAGCTAACTTTATAGACTTCGATTGTCTAGTATTACAGATTTATTCTAGACTCTAGAGCTTAATATTGCAGCGTAAAAAATTATCATATATGTATGTATAACATTTAAGAAAATAGCCAAAAGTACCTAGTAACTTGTAGAATACAACAAAGTAATATGTCTAGAAAATTATTCCTATACCTATTGCGTATCTTAATTTTAGGATCAACAGTTGAAAGGATAAGCGGTTTTGGCTCGCTCTACTGTTACTACTGCACAGCGATGCCATTAATACCGTAGATGTGAAAATGTAAATATGTATTATTTAAATTATTAAGCAATTTGTAATGTGTACAATTCATGCAAGTTTCTAAAAATAAACAAGTAATACTTGGCGCGTTCTTAACTTGGAATATTAAACACAAGACATAATATAAAATATAAAATTAAATTAATTTTTAAAACTCATTTCTATTTATTTTGTTGTAAGAATTCTTCTTTCAACGAACTAAAATAAATTGATATGAACTCAATTCAGTCGTGCCACATCGTGCCACGCAACTGATAATATTACAAAACCGAAATCTGATAAACACCACGTAAATAGTTTTTAGATGGCTGCTATGCCAGTTCTTTTTATGTTAATTACGGGAAATTAACTAATAGCTAACGATCAGAACTTTATAATCGGAGCTTTGAAACCATGATAAAATATTTGGCCTGGAATTTATTTATATACAATCGCATTTTTTTAATTTATTTCTAATTCATAATCTATCCACATTTATATTTATAAATATTTACTTACTAATATTGATGAGAAAAAAAACTATGATTTGTGAGGATTTTTAACGCTTTTCTTATAATATAGAATTAATCAAATTAATATAAAAAACTTAAAAAAAATCGACTTCCAGGCACTAAAATGTAAAAAATAACTAAACGGGGGTTATCATTTAGAATAGATACCTAATCAGATATTTTCGAAGTCTGTGCCAGTTTTTATTTTTCCATTTTTAGTGTAGACATAATAAGCAGGTAATTTGTAAGAAGCGACTTTTTTTAATAAAATATACGATTAAACAATTTATTTAAAAAAATATTTATTGTAGATTTTTTTTAAAACCGCTCGATAAAATTTATATGGGACCACCTGGGGAGTATACCCTTTGAAACAAAACGAAATTTCCAAATCGGTTCAGGCGTCCTCGAGTAATCGGTGAACAAACATAAGAAAAAAAGAAACCGACGAATTGAGAACCTCCTCCTTTTTGAAAGTCGGTTAAAAAGTAGCAACCATTGTTAACAAACCGTTATACTTTTGAATAAAATAGTAGTATTGTAATTATTTTATTTAGAATCTTTTTAATTAATGGATGTTTTTTAATTCATCGCGAGTAACCGTGGCTGATAGCTATCTAGATTTCAGCTGGGCAGAATGGGCAGAGCCATCTTAGTTCTTGGTTAATATTGCAAACATGGCCGCTATTTTCGATCTGTCACAATCTGAATTAAAATGGCGTCTGGTCTCTGGTCTCAGTTTTAACAACTCATAAAACATGATAAATTTCATTTTCTTTTTACGCACAAATGTTATAAAAATATTAAAAGTAATAAACTTAATGTGTTTCTGTAAATTAATATGAACTTTAAAGTTATTAGGAAGTAGGAAAATGGGCGAGGTCAAAATTGTTTTCCCTCAATAGATGGCGTTGACCTACCATCCATATATTGCATTTAAGTTTTAAACTATCATTGATGTTCATACATTTTTTTAAATTAGGGATTCATATATCAAGCAAATTAAAATAACTTTAATTAATATATATAAAAAAATGTGATTATACATAATTATACCTACGAGTATAATTGACAAAAAAAATCTGGTCATTTTATTATTTAAATGAGGCAATTGTTAAGAATGATTTGTTTTAATTTAAAATGTTAAGTAGTGTCATTTTTTAATTTAGCTCATTTCGCCTTGCCATTTCAGAGTGACTCCAAGAGTTACTTGTCTTAAAACTAAATACTCACCTTTAGCAGAGTCCCATCTCCAGAAAAGTCCGGAGCGTGCACAATCGAAAAATCTAATAAATGGTTTAAAAAACCAGTTAAATGTTAAAAAATATTACATAAACGTTTTACAAAAGTTTTGCGACGGCGACCAGACGCAGACTGAGCCCGGGATGGGCGGTGCGTCACATCTCTATTGATCGGCGTATCGCGCAGCGTCCGGACCAGATGCCTAGGTAAGGTAGGTAGGAGTAATATTATGCATCGATTACCTGCCTGCGCTTTGATTGGGAAAATAATAATTAGTATTCCGGTGTATAGTTTTATATGGACGCTATGTATTAATAATAGTAACTAATATTGTATGTAATAATATATTAAACAAGAGATGAATGATTACATGAGGATTAATATAGTAGCTGTTTCAATTAATTTTTAAATTGAAATATGTCAAATAACAAAGAATGGTGTTGTTATCCTGATTAGTACCAAAATATAGTTACTCGAATATCGTTATATATATTGGCCCCAAGCGTATCGGGATAGCCATTAGCATTATTCATATAAACATTTTATAAAGTAAATGTTCGATGCCTAGATCGATGTCGCTACTTATGTCTTACAGAAAGCTAGGAAATTAATTACAATAGATATTTTATAATAGTTATACTACCTCACTTCGCTCAGGTTTCTCCCTAGATACCTGTCTCACTCTCCAGCCCCACGACGTACATATAAACATGAGATGAAAAATGATGGGTTCCCCATACAAACTTTCATCAAACATTTCACCCCGTTTCGCTTTTATTTTTGTGAAAAGGTTTCTTATGCAATGACTCAAATATCTGTATATGAAAATTCGTCAAAATTAGTTTAGCATTTTAGGCGTGAAATAAATAAACAAACTAACGAAACGACAGATAAATCTATTTCATTTATAATACTTATTTAGATTTATATTTATACAAATAATACTATATTTTATATGTACGAGTATATGTAAACAAGGTGCAATGCTCGTGCGTCATTCCACCCTCTATATACCTCCCGCACCTCATAAGGGTGTTAACGCCCACTCGGCGATACTTCAGTGCAACACACCAGTACTGGTCAAAGGATCTAAAATTACAATTCTAGCAAAGAGGCAGTTTACACTTTCATATTTTTCGAAATTTCTAGAATTTTTGTATATTTTTATTATGAAATAAAATTGTGGGATGGTTATATTTATATTTTTCTAATTACCATTTTTTTTATTAAAAGTTAACCACAGAATCACTTTAAAAGTAATTATTTCACCAATAGGTACGCATAAATATTTTTCACAGTTTTATTGAAATTTATATGGGACTATCCTTGAGGTGTGACCACCTATAAATAAATAAAAAAATATTATGAAGATCTATTCATAACCGCATAATGTACAAAAGAAACAGAAATCATGGTTGAGTTCCTCTTTATATTTGCAATCGGTCAAAAATAGTAAGTTCAATGTTTTTTTCTTCTGTTTTGTTCTATTTTGGATCTAATGTCAGGCAAATAGCTTTTTTTTTAATTTATAGGTGTGCAATTGCGTATTATTCGAGGGATAAATCCTTTTAATTTTCTATAGTTATATCATACAGAATATACCTACATATTAATATTTAAAGTTACTTTCATATTTTAAAGGGGTGGCGTAACAATTTCAATTTTATGCATAGTCTAAAATTTAATATTTAACTACCTTAAAACTCAAATGTCTGCCTTCCGGAATGCAATAAGCATTCAAATAAACTAGATATTTGATTTGAAATATTAAAATTAATTTCCTAGGAAGCCTTTGTATGGGCTGGCACCGATTTCGAAAATATTTCATTAGGTATGTATTTAATAGGTAGGCTTTAATTACTTAGCCAAAGCACACCGACTTCGAAAATATTTGATTAGATATGTATAGTAAATGAAAACTACCAATCAGTTATTTTTTACTTTTTAGTGCTTTTGTTTGAAGTTGGTTTTTATTTTTTTGTTAAAAAGTTTTTATTTTTCCCTTTTTAGTGTAGACAGTAGTAGCAAAGTAAGAATTCTAAAGTGTTAGGCTTGTCAAACCAAATAAAATAAGCCCAAACTCAAAGTATCTACTATTAGTCGTTGAAGAGTTCCACCTATCCACCTTCTGGCCTTACCATCAGATCAGGTCAACAATACCGAACCACTGTACTATCAACGGAAATAGAAACACTTGCAAAGTTTCAAGTCAATATGACAATTAGAAGTAGGTTAAATTCATTATTAGCAATTTTTCCACCCTTAGGGGTGGTATTTTTTTTTTGAAATTTAAATGGGACCAATCTGAAAGTATACCCTTTCAAACAAAACAAAAATTGTCCAAATCGGTTAATAAATGACGAAGTTCTGAAGTAACAAACATAAAAAAAAACAGTCGAATTGAGAACTTCCTCCTTTTTGAAGTCGGTTGAAAATATTATGAAGATCTATTCATGTACAAAAAAAAACAGAAATCATGGTTGAGTTCCTCTTTATATTTGCAATCGGTCAAAAATAGTAAGTTTAATGTTTTTTTCTTCTGTTTGGTTCTATTTTGAATCTAATATCAGGCAAATAGCTTTTTTTTAATTTATAGGTGTGCAATTGCGTATTATTCGAGGGATAAATCCTTTTAATTTTCTATAGTTATATCATACAGAATATACCTACATATTAATATTTAAAGTTACTTTCATATTTTAAAGGGGTGGCGTAACAATTTCAATTTTATGCATAGTCTAAAATTTAATATTTAAGTACCTTAAAACTCAAATGTCTGCCTTCCGGAATGCAATAAGCATTCAAATAAACTAGATATTTCATATGAAATATCAAAATTAATTTCCTAGGAAGCCTTCATTTTGTCATGTAGAGCTTTATATCAAACTAAAACTGGGTACATGTTTCTGTGAATTGAATGCGATTTTCACCTTTGACATTATTATTAACAAAGTTTCAGATGAAGTTGTCATATTAAAATTTTACATAGGTAACATGCTTCAGTGTGCGATTTTCCTGCATGAATTTTTATCATAAACTAAATTTGATCAGAATAGCTGAAATTGTGACTGGATATTTTTTCTGCCGGCTAAAGGTTGGCTGCTAGTTCCATATGTAGTTACACTTTCTTATTTACTGATCACTGGGACTATAGGGCTAAATATTGGGGTTTTTTTCGAGCTTTTTGCTTAACTGGCCTTGACAGCTAAAATTTCGAATTTTGTTTTTTTTTTTTTAATATGTAATCTGTGATAAATCTACAACCCAGGATAAAACAGCTCTATTTATTTCTGCGCAGATTTTATACAGGATATTCTCCTTTGGCAATCGATTATAAAATTCCTTTGTGCACCTCGCGTACTGTAACTTTGTTAGTGTCTTTCATGTTTTCTTTTGTTCGTCTTCAATCTATTGACAAAGACACAAGTGACTCCTGACTTCTTTCTTTCCATCCACTGGAAACAAACGTCTGTATAGACAAACGTTTGTATACTTCAATTCAACCTGCAAATATATAAAAAGTAAAAATAAAAATTTAAAAATAACCGACTCCCAGGCACAAATTCTAACCGAGCCGAATCTGTATATTAAATATTTTTTGGAAAATCTTATTGAAATAGACATTATTATCGATACAGAGGCCGAATCTATAGTTTTTATAATTCTTGTCTGTCTGTTACCGCATCACGGAACGGCGCCGCGGGCAATGCTAGTGGTAAATAAATATGCGCTAAATATTCTTGATATTTCCAATATTTCATGTTTTATTAAGATCAAAGAAGGCTCAAAGTTTCATCTCGAACAGGTATGACCTATATTTGGAAACGTCTTAGATACATCAAAAGTATGTGAAACACGTATTACTTGAAGAGACCCTTTACAAATCAATACCTTAATTGGCAAACCAGCTAACCAAATTTGCTCCATATGAGCAAATTTTTCAGGAGACACTTAAAACTTTATAATATTGTTCGTACACTACTTATTAAAAAATATAAAATATCGTCGGTAGATAATATCGTAAGCTGTTATTTTTGATACTGTAAAATCTCACTAAAATAATCCTACTGAATTACAGTTGCGTATAATCTGAACCAAAAAAATATTTTTTGATGAAATGTGGAGTTGGCTGGTTTGCCAATTAAGGTATGATGGTATAGAAATGTAGTCTAAAAATACGTTTCTGATAGATTGAAGTAGATATTGGTTTCAATAGGAAATGAACCGTCGAGTGCACTCGTGGCTATCAAGCTGTCTGTCAGCGTCGCTGCCGTTGTATGATTGACTATTGATCTGTACTCAACTTGATGCTGTTGTACCTAAGTTTGCAATTCGATTTGTTACTTGTCTGCGGGGTAACGAATTTTTCTATAGAATTAAAACCTTCCTTGATAATTCGTTATTGAATTCATTCTTTGTTATATAGTTATATCGGACTACTATTATATTAAAAGCAACTGCCTCGGTGGTGTAGTGGCTAGCATGTACGGCTGCACACCGGAGGTCCTGGGTTCGAGTCACGGGTCGGGCCAAGTTTAGTTATTGAGTCTTTCTGTATAGTAAGTTTCAGTAACGGCCCGGAGTTGGGAAGTTGGCGGTGTGTCACCCCCGTGCCTCGGAGAGCACGTAAAGCCGTCGGTCCTGCGCATTAACTCTTACCGGTCGTGTCGAACAGTCGTCTCACCGGAGTATGAGTGACAGGAATAGAGAGTGCACTATGTCTGCGCATACACTTGTGCACTATATCTTCTGCGCAGTTGGCTAGTCTCAATAAGATTGGCCGCCGTGGCCGGAATCGGTCAGGAGAACATCATATTAAATTTAGAAGTAAGGACGGTTCAGATCTTTATTAGTCCTAGAAACTGACACGCGTTTAAGCATCTTTATTCGGCAGCAATTGACGTTGTTTGCTACGGGAAGACTGGAAGCCAATGTAGTATACTAAATCCTTTGCAACTCCAGACAAATATTAATTTAAGAGGAATCGAACTAGCTTTCCTTGGCTGCTAAATTATTTAACTTGAATCGATAACGTCAACGTTAACATTATAAGTACGCGTACAAATAAAATCTACGTCATCGACGTCGTCTACGGGGATGTTCTCTGTGGAGTCTAAAGTTTACAGTCTAGACAAGTCGATACCTGCCGGCAAAGCACTGACTTGACCCGACTATATATGTATTTTTAGTTGCGACGTTGCTCACGTTGAACGTAATTTATATATATAAAATGCTTTGTCCTAACTGACTGAATGTGACTGTCTATTTGAATAAAGTATATTTTGATTTGATTTGGTCGGTTGCTTGTTGTGTTTTCGTCTCATTGGAATACGAGAGTTAAAGATGTAGAGAGTAATCTTATGTCTGCACACACACGCTTTATACTATGAAATATGTTGCAGTTGGTAAGTCTCAGTGAGATTGGTCGCCGTAACGGAAATCTGTTAGAAGGACTTTTTGAAGCATTACTAAAATTATATTAATTTTAAAATATGGACTATATTTGCCAAAAAATATGAAACTGATGTGTAAGATAAGCGCTCTCTCACTTTTTTCGTCTATACATTAAATGTTTGCCTTTTGTGCACACTTTTCTTTTTGTTTTATAATTTGTTAACCGTATTTACTTCATGATTTTGGTGGACAATAAAGTATAAATAAATAAATGAATGTTGCTCGTTCGTTATTTTTTTTTTAAAAGCGA